CAAAGGGCGGGAAGCAGAGGGCTTTGGTCCCGGTTGGTGCCACCAACCGGGACTAAAGGGTTGGCATTGGTCCTGGTTGGGGCCACGAACCGGGACCAATGGTCGTGTGCTGGCACGGTGCGGCACAAAAGTTTAGTCCCACCTCGCTAGCTGAGAGGGGCGCGCAGTGATTTATAAGCCCCACTGGCGCACCCCTCTCGAGCTCCTCTCCACTGCAGGCTTACGGGCCTACTTACTACCGCGTTGCCTGTTGGGCCTACTGGGCCAACTGCGGGCCTGAATCCTGGCCCATGGTGGGTTTCTAGTCGTATTCAGGCCGTGGGTGACCAGTAGGAGGCACTTTTTTCCCTTTACTTATTGTTGCCATTTTTATTTTTTCCCAGATTTTTTGTTTTGTTTTCTGTATTATTTATTTTCTTTTGTTTGTTTGCTTTATTTTTTAATTCTTTTTGCTTTTATTTTTAGAACAATTTTAAACTTTCTGTTAGTGCCATTAGTTCTCAAATTTGAAAACACTTTTTTTGTTTTTTTGTTTTGTTTCGTGCTTTATTTATTTTATTTTGTTTCTACTTACAACAAAATACTTATTGTTGCTATTTTTTCCCAGATTTTTTGTTTTATTTTCTGCATTATTTATTTTCTTTTGTTTTTTTGCTTTACTTTTTAATTCTTTTTGCTTTTAATTTTAGAAAAATTATAAACTTTCTGTTAGTGCCATTAGTTTTCAAATTTAAATAAACCTTTTTGTTTTCTTTTTGCTTTATTTATTTATTTTATTTTCCAGTTTTTTTCTTTTGTTTTCTGCATTTTTTATTTTTTTTGTTTTCTGCATTAAAGCATTTCAAATGAACTCTGAAAAAGTTGAAAGTTGAAAGTTGGCATGGTATCACGAGGGCCGAACCATAATGGGCTGCCTTTGGTCCCGGTTCGTCCCACCAACCGGGACCAATGGTGGTGGGCCAGGAGCGAGGCCCATTGGTCCCGGTTCGTTCCTCCAACCGGGACCAAAAGGTCCAGACGAACCGGGACCAATGGCCCACGTGGCCCGGCCGGCCCCCGGGGCTCACGAACCGGGTCCAATGCCCCCATTGGTCCCGGTTCTGGATTGAACCGGGACTAATGGGCTGATCCGGCCTGGACCATTGCCCCCTTTTCTACTAGTGTATGGTTCAGCTAGACATTCTCGTCGGAAACATGCATGCCTGCATGCACTCCCTCTCACCACTTCCAAATACTCCCTCCGTTCCTAAATATTTGTCTTTTTAAAGATTTCAAATGGATTACCACATACGGATGTATATAGACATATTTTAGAGTGTAAATTCACTCAAGTTGCTCCGTATGTAGTCACTTATTGAAATCTCTAGAAAGACAAATATTTAGGAACGGAGGGAGTATAATTATACAGGATAATATGTTCCGTACTATACATATGACATGATATATTTTCTTGTTTCATTTTTCTTCGGTAGAAGTGCAGCTGCTATATAATTCCAGCACAGAGTTGAGTCTTCCTACGATCTCCTCTATTATAACAGTGAATCCCTCATCCACCTGAAAACAAAAATGCAAGCTAGCTATTGATCAGCATTGTATTCTCCCACTTCATTCAGTTGAATATGATACTTGTGAACAAACATGCTTAGCTTTTTCCCTGGGGGAACATACATGATTGGCTAGATTGAGAATTATGTTTTTGTTCAGTAAATTATGGTCATCAAACAAAAATGCTAAACCGTTTATTGACATTCTACGGATCCTTCCAAACTCATTATTGAATACCACCACCCCGGCCCCGAATTTCACTGGGTGGGCCCCCTACCCTTTTATTCTCCAACCAAATCTCGCCATGTTAGCTCGTCCATACAATCCATAAGAAATTCCCCGTAAATGTAGTTTTATTCACCATCAAATATATATGTAGGCTCTACAATAGTACTGGGGTGACATTTTCTATGCATGTTGACCATGATTTGCAAATTAAGAAGTTTCGTCATAATGCGGGATAGATTATGTATTTTGTATGGAACATTAGTTAAGGCCATCATAGTACAACTATGACGGTATAATATCCAATTTTTAACTATTGTCGGGGCCAATTTTCAGTTTGTTGAACGGTTCCAACTGGTAAAACAATGAATATAAGTTTTAGTCTAAACAGGCCAGTTTAAAACAAAACTCTCCAGCATTGAAATCACATTGTCTTCGAGACATGAATGTCTTTCTGGTCCAAGTTGCTAATCGCTTCGGTTTAGCTAAATCAAAGTCATTTGAGATTGTCCTGTATAATCTAAGTCGATGCTCTAACTAAGTCGTCTGATGTCCATGTGTTGAGATACGTTTAGAAGCGAGTGTAGAAATTCCGTGCCCCGCAACTATATATATTCAAATAAATTCCAATTACTAATACTATTGAAAATACCTCATTATGAAGCAAGTGTAACTCAAATGTATAAAACGCTTTCTAGTGTGTTTGTTCACTATTTTCAGTTTGTATGTAGTTCATATTGAAATATCCAAAGCATCTTATAATAGTGAACGGAGGGAGTATCATATATGTTGGGTTGATGAAAAATCTTACTTGACTTATATATACGCGGGGAGATATTTGCTAATATCATTTACCTACGAGTGTGAATAATTGGATGGAAATGTGAAACCAATGAAGGAAAACTTGCCTTTGCCGTGATGGTTATGATCACAGTGCAGGCCGTGAATGGCATGACATTGGCGTGGGTGACGGTGAGGTGGAGCCCCTCCTCCACCTCCGCCAGCACCCTCACCACCACCCCCTGGACGTCGTCGCAGAGGATCCTCAACATCACGCCGTTCTCGGAGAACCGCACCTCGATCTCCGGCAGCGGGTTCCCCGTAGAGGACGACGCGGACGAGGGCGGCGGCGGCGTGGCGCGGCTTCTTCTTGACGCGCACCACGGTCTCGATGCTCCTGCTGCTGCGGCCGGTGGCTGCGTCGAGGGCCTTGATCTTCGCCTGCAGCTCCTTGATGTGCCTCGTTGCGTCGGAAAGGATCGTCGCCTTGTGCATCTGAATCAATCATATGGTCATATGGATCTACATACACTGAGATTTATTCGCGTGGGGAAGAGCTAAGTGCAGGTGTTGAAGCAAATCGATCGGAGCACCTTCTTGAGGCCGGGGATGACGGTGGAGAGCTCGATGAAGCGCTGGTTAATCTTCTCCCGTCGCTTCCGCTCCGCCATGATATGGTCCTGCGCGTAAGGCGGCCCCGACGACACGGGCCTGGTGCCGGTGGGGCTTCTTGCGGCGGCCCTCCTCGTCGGCTGTCCAGTGCACTCTCTGTCACTGGCCGGCAGCGTGGATGCGGCGCAAAAATTCCAGCTCGTCACCGGAGGGTTGATGCCCCCAAGGCCCCAACCCCACCGTTCCCGGAAAGTCTTGGAGCGCACCTGGCCGAGGTGGGCGGGGACGGGGGCCAGACGTCGTGCTCCATGGCCGCCGGGGACGAGAAATTACCACCAAAACCTCCGCTGCCGTCTGTGGTTTCGCCGGAGCTCCCGCTGCTTGCCGGATTGGGTCCCGTAATCAGCTCTTCGAAGACGAGGCGCTGCTCACAGAGCGCCTGAAGCGAGGGGAAGGCTGCCTCGCCGTTGACAGCCACCACTGGGTCTGGGTGCTCCTGCTCCAGCGTGTCCATGGCCCATTCCATGAACAGGGCGGAGTCGTCCATGTCCCCTAGCTACATAATTTGGATGGATGCAAATAATGGAGAGGACCAACCAAACTGAAAGTAATAATACTACTCCTACTTAAGACTTAATTACCTCAAATCCTTCCTAAGCTGGCAGAGCTGGCAGAGGACACTATTTTTATTAGTATGTCCTCTCGAAAATATTTAGTGAGCGGCAGAGGTGGCTGATTAGCATGTCCTCTCGAAAATATTTAGTGAGCGGCGCTACCCAAAGAAGCAAGGGAGAGGTTTTGCCTTATACTATAGATATAGGACAGTGACGGTCACTGCAATACTAGTGGCCTCAATAATGCATGGGAGAAAACAATCCTTTCAACCAAATCTGGTTATATGTCGCCTAAATCAGGTGAAAACGATATTTTACACCCCCTACAATACGCTAGGTAAACTAAAATACAGGAGCTGATGTCCACGCTTGATGTGTTGATTTGACCTAGCTCATTTATCTCTGGAGCTAGCAATATTTTTGCCTTAATAATAGTGCAGAAGAAGAAAAAGACCCATGCATTACTATGACTAGTCACAGCAGGAGTAACTTCAGCAGTAACATCGAGTCCAACTCAACAAATTTGCTTATGTGACAATGAGTTAATGACGAGAGAGGTAGTTCTAGTAACTTAGCTAGTTACTGTAACATCACATGTCCCAATGCAATATGAGTCTATAACCTAATAAATGAAGTTTTGCATGACATCACACTTATGTTACTACCCACTATGAAGGTAGTAACATAATCTAGGGATATGTGCATGTTACTAGTGTATGTTACTCTCCATTGTGACCAGTCTACAAGAGGAGGCTTATCCAAACTCAGTACTATTACTTCAGACTTAATTACATCAAATCTTTCCTAAGCTTGCATAAGACACACTATGATTAGCGAGTCCCCTAGAAATATTTTAGCAAGCGTGCAGCACTCCCCAAAGAAGCAACGGAGAGGTTTGCCTTATATAGATATAGAGCAGTGACAGTCGCTAGAGGCCTCTGAATGGCTCCTCCCTTCCAAAGGCCAATAATGCATGGGAGAAAACAATCCTTTCAACCAAATCTGGTTATGTCGCCTAAATCAGGTGAAAATGATATTTTGCACCCCCTATCAATACACTAGGTAAACTAAACTACAAGAGCTGATGTCCACGCATGATGTTGTGATTTGACCTAGCTCATTTATCTTTGGAGCAATATTTTTATGCTAATTCATTCGGCCCTGATCAATATCACAATCTCATGCTGGACGCGCGCACACACAATATCTTCCACTTCAGAGTGACACTTCGATAAAAGGAGCAGACAAGGAAGTAGGAAAGGTCTTTGGATGGCTTAATTTAATTAGTTGATTGCGGCGAAAATTGATTAAGTATGTAGACGATGGCTCAATGCTGATGTCTTATTCGTACTATGCTGAGTATTTTATCTTCATCTGACACTCCACCAAATCTCTGCAAAATTGAGTGCATTGTGGAGCCACTAACAATTAATATGGATCACCTTGTCTTTGTCGCTAAGCACTTGCAAACTTTACAAGTTAGAATGGATGGCAGACATAATTTATACTCCCTTTTTCCAGAAATACTTGTCAGAGAAAAGGATGACGGAGGGAGTAGGTTTTCAGTTATACTAGGACAATGCCCGTGCATCGCAACACGATATAGATATTTTATTAGTATCTTAGCTTCTGATTACCTGCCCATATTAATGCGATTGTGTAAATAAATATTTATCAAAGCTTGATTTACCTTATAGTATGAAGAGAAATTTGGTAAGTAAATTAAAGTGAAATTAGTTTAAAAGATAAGTAAATTAAGGTAATTGATTATCATATACATGGAAGATTGGATGAAGGGGTGGTGGGAAGAAAAGTGAAACATGAAACCTTACATTCTTTTTAAGCAGTAGAGACAGAGATTGATGAAGACAAACAACTTCAATTGAATTCATCCACATATTAAATCAAGATGTGAGGACAAAGTAATATTCGACAGAAAAACATAGCTTTAATAAATGAAATGTAAGACATGTTTCACATCATCCATTCCAATATTCGACGAAATATATAGTTATTTTACAGAAGATTAGAGCATCTCCACCCGTTGGCCCCCCAGGGGGCGCGTAAAATCACCGCGTGGGGGCGAGCCAGCGCGAACAAACGGCCTGGGGGCGAGTTGGTGCCCAGTCGCCGGCCCCAGGGCCCCCAGACGCGTCTAATTTAAAAAAACATTCGGAAAAGTTCGGTTAAAACACGGCTAAAATTCGGCAAAATTTGGCATATATTAGACTGTTCGCGGCTTACATAGCAAATTTATCTAAAAAAAGAAATCGCTGAACGCGGAGTAGTCGCTGTCGTCGCCGCCATCCTCACCGCCGTCGTCGTCGGCCTTCTCCTCCTTGACGCGGCCGTCCCTGCTGGACCCTTGCCCGGCCTCACCATGGCGGACTGGTGGCGGCGGCGGTGCATCGTCGTCGTCGTCGCTGTCGTCTAGGGCGACGAGGCCTCCTTCGTCGCGGCCCGGCGGCGCTGCTCGAAGTGCTGCAGGGCGGCGCACTGGCACTCCATCTCCATCTTCTGGTAGTCCTTGCGCGCCCAATTTTAGGCCCGCCTAGTCGTTGAGCTCCACGTCGCCGTGCTCCATCTTCACCGCGGGGATCCCCGGCTCGGTTTTCACGGTCGCGAGCCCTGGCTCCGTCTTTGGCTTGACGAATTGCGGTGGAGCCGACGAGGAGGCGTGTCGGCCGCCCTCGTTGATGACGATGCCGGCCGAGCGGCGTCTCCGCCATGGGCTCGGCCTTGACGCCGAGCAACTTCAGAGACCTGAAGGAGTGGGAAGAAGAGCGTGAGGAGGAGTGCGAAGAGGAAGACGAGGAGGAGCCGAACCTCCTGGGCATCCCCGACGCGTCGGCGGTGGGACGGGGCGGCCGCCGGAGGGTATGCCAGTGGCGGTTGGTTGCCGCCCTCAAGGTACGCCAGCACGCCCTCGAGCGTGCGGCCGGGGGCGCCCCACCACACGCGGCGGCCCTCGCTGTTCTTCACGCCGCCGACCACCGACGCCCCGTTGATGGACGCCAGCCTCTGCTCCTGATGGCGCTCAAAGTACGTCGCCCATGCCGCGTGATTGTCGGCGGCGTACTGGGGGAGGGCGTGCTGCTCGTCGGTGAAGGAGGCGTGCACGAGGTCGACCTCGGCGGCGAAGTAGGGGGGCACGCCTCGGCGTTGGGCAACGGGGGAACGGGCACTCCCCCGTTGCTGAGCCTCCACCCCGTCGGCCCGGCGCGCATGTCCGGCGGCGCCGGGATGTTAGCCTCGAACAGGAGCCACGACTCCTATTCGTGGAGTGAGCGGCGGCCGAAGCCGTTGGCCGCCGCCGCGTCGCCGAGGAACGTGCGAACATTGGGTGTAGGAGTGAGGGAGAGGGAGGGCTCGGCGGTGGCGCACGGGAGAGGGAGAGCTCGGCGGCTAGGGCGGGTGTGGCCAGAGGCGAGGGAAGCCACCAGTTTATATAGCCGCGCCCGTGTGTATGCATGGCGGAAGGGGAGGCGTTGCCGTGCCGCCCCGTGAAGTACCGCCCGTGATGAGGAATCAATGGCAAGGCTGACCAGCGGCGGCAGGCTTGGCATTGATTCCCGCGGGAACCGAGGCGATGAGGACGACGAATCGCCCGTCTTGCTGATTCAGCGGGCCCGCGGCTGTTTCGCGCCAAAACCACTCGCCCCGGCGCCCCCGGGCGCCCCCCAGCGCAACGGGTTCGGCCTGGGTCCGCCGGCACTGATTTCGACCCAAGCCGACAAAAAACGGGCTCCTGGGCAACGCGAGTGGGCCATTTTTTCGGTGCCGGCGCAAAAAAATAGCCTTGGGAGGCCGTTCTGGGGACGCGGCTGGAGATGCTCTTAGAGGTTTACTGGGTTTCAATAAGACCCCGAGAAGGAGGCATGTTAGGTGTCTGCACGATGTCATTGTTGAGGAAATATGCACACATATCCTTGATGCAGCATTTGACTTTGACATGGCCGTAGTTCCCAGTACCAACTTGTGTAAGTATTTTTCATTGTAATGAAATTGTTGTGATGGACAAGCTCATCCATATGTGCGCAAATATAGAACCCACATGCCATCTAGCACCAACTATCGGTTACCCAAAAGGGAAATCGAATTTGTTGGATAGCTTGATAACGATCTGGATCATTTTACCAAAAAAATACATTTGAAATGCTAGTTATAATATATAGATATTTACAACTATATAATAATAGTATACAATAAATCATAACATGTATTTTCAGCTTCCATTTCTATATCCAAATTCCAAACAGTCAATCCTAATCAAAATGCATTGCAATTCATTTCTGCAACAACGGGTGAGATATCATCTACTATTCTTTTAGGAACTGAGATATCATCTAGTTATTAAGACATATTTATAGACACATCGGTAATTCCATTATTGGATGGCACCTGTAGGCATCAGCCAGCTAGACCGTCGAATCGACGATCTTTTGGGGTAAAGCGACGCATCGGTCGCTGCCTAGGCCGGATGACCCACGTCAATTCTGCTCTCACGCGTGCACGTGGTACTGGTAGTATCTAATTATCCTCGACAAGTTTACAGCATGCATCACGTGCTCTGTACACAGCGCGCTGTGCAAATTGCGGCCGTCCAGTAAGAATCCGAGGCCGGTCAGTTCGTGTTGTAATTATATAGCCTCTCCTTTGCTGTCACGAGGTGCCTTCACAAAGGCAACATTTCGCCCGTGCCTTTATAACCTGTGGTTGGATAGTTAGAGGGACTGTAGTATTTCAAACCTATCAGGGTTCAAGTCCTGGTGCTCGCATTTATTCGTGGATTTATTTCAGCATTTTCGACTATGCGCATTCAGTGGGAGAAGACATTCCCATCGATGACGAGGTGCCTACGGCGACTTCGTAAACTTCAAGATGATATGCCGGCTCAGTCTTTCGGATGTGCTCATAGGGATAGGGTGTGCGC